TTTTGATAAAAAAGAGTTTGAAACCTGTGAGTAGAAACACACTATTATGGTATCATCTTTTATTTTAGTGAACAATGAGTGCTCAGTCATACTTTATTTTATGTCATTTTATTATTTGGCAAGAAATCAATTCGATAGTTATCTATAAAAATTGCAAAATAAAACTAAAGAAGAAATAAAACAAAAGGAAAGAAAGAAAACATATGTGATATTAATAAATTCCTAACCAAAAATGAGGAAGGGTTAGAAGGGAGTTAGAAGTCAACATACTCAAGCTTGGAATTAACAATTAGAATTTAACTTGTTTGGAATTAACAAGTTCAAAACTTAAGCTTGGTAGTTTAGCTTAGGTATTTTCTTGTATTTTTTGTTTTTGCATATCTTTTTGTGTGATAGCCGTACCTAGAAATACCTTGTGATTGTGATTAATTAGATAAACTTATATTTTATAGCATCACTGAGCAAATTTGTTTGAATAATAAAAAATAATTTTATTGAGTTAAAATAAGAAGCAAATAAGTACAAAATAATGTTTGAGTCTCTTTACAAATTTGTATCTCAGATCTCAAGATTGCAAGCTTATTATGTATTTTTTATTTGTACATTTTAGGAAAACATAGTTATCAAGGTTAACAAGTCCAGTCGCAGTAACATGTATCCCGATTCTCACATTTGCATTTAAATCCTTTTTCTTTAGCCATGCGTGGATGCTTTTTAGCTTTGGCAAGACATGTAGATTGAGTGCAACCCAAAAGTTCTTCCACGGCAAAACAAGGATTTGAACTCACATCTAGTATATCATAATTTTGTTGACAAACAATAAATAAATTATATGTTTGTTAACCCAAATAGCAGAACACTTTCTTTTTATCTTATTTCAATCAAACTCTAAAAACATATAAACCTATATTGCATTTAGAGAAACTAGCCATCTCTTCTACTTTGTAGATAGAATACAAAGAATCATTCACATTTTGAAAGTAAATGTATTTATCATACAAAAGAAATAATAATGAAGTACTATAATGACTTTAAGAGATTGGCTAATTTCTCTTAATGGGAGTTATACTTTTATTAAAAGAAGGCTCTTAATGGGCTTTTTATTTGTTAAAGAAGGTCTTAATGGGCTTTACAGAAGTCAAGAGCCTTCTCTCTCACAGACGACAAAAGAAGAGCCTCTCTGTGCATCTCTATCAATGGCGGATACGCGCGGGGATGATCTTTCTGAATCGCTACTGAACCTCTTCACGAGTGTATCATCCATGGCGAAATCTGAGCTCCAGGTGATGATGTTCAGAACTCTACAGATTATTTAGATCTGAAACTGAGTCTCGTGGTTCGTTTTGGATTTAGGGAACGAACAATCAGCTGGATCTGTTGGAGAAGATGAACCTGAGAGTTGCGTCGGAGTACGATGATTTGGGTGACGTGGCGGCTGGGCTGAGAGTGTTCGCGGAGCAGATGAAGTCGAAGAGTGGAGGCTTGGATGAGTTCGTGGGACAGATGGAGGCGATTGAGAAACAAGTGTCGGAGTTTGAAGCTGTCATCTCTGTTCTCGATCGTTATGTCTCTGTCTTAGAATCTAAAGTCCGAGCTGAGTGTCGTCATCAACAACAACATCGTCGTCGGTCTAATGAGACTGTTACGGAATGATTCACCGTTGTAATAATAATTTAATTATCTGAAACGTTACTGAGTCTCTGTCTCCTTTTAGTTTTAAGTTTAATTAAACTGTAATTGGATTAACCAGGCTCGTCTCCTTGTGACTGAACTAAAACTATAGTTGTTTCTTAGGAACCAACCAAAGAACAGCTCTCTCTCTCTCTCTGCTGTCTCTTGGAGTAGCTTAATAACCATGGGACTGTTTTAAATCGTCTAGCAAAGTAGCTTATGGAGTTGTATGGATTTGTAATCAGGTGGACTAAAGAAAAATTAACTAAAGCTAGTTGTGCTTAAGCTAATTACAGAAGGTAGGATGCATTGCTCAATGGGTTCCAGTTTTGTGTTTCTTGGCTGTATAATTACAATAAAAAAGGTGTTAATATTCATTAGGATTAAAGTTATATGTAATAGTTTTGTGACTTTGTATTCTAAAGTTTGTTTTACTTTAACAGAAGAAAAAAAAAAATTTAAGCCAAAAAAAAAAAAAAAAAAAAAAAAAAAAACAGAAGAAAAAAATGTAATGACATTATTCTACAAAATGTCTTAAGACTTTTTTGACCTTTTTCATTATAAAAGAAATGGCAATCAATGATGGTATTCTACACGTGTCATGTCTTATTTCGTGGTTATCATTCTGATGGAGAAGTACACTTAAACAAATCTTAGTATTGTTTATTTTATCTTTGGTCAATTAGAAAGTCTACTCGTATCCTTTATTTCTCAATTCGTGACTTTGACAGAGAAACTCGTGTCGCGTCCTTCTTATCAGTTTGTACTAATTTCTACGATAGACTGAAAAAATGTCTCAGGAAGTAAGTAAATACATTCAAAAGATGAGTACTAGTTAAGACAAAATCCACCCGTAATCTCCAAATTCTAAGGCGAAAATAATTTCTTATAAGTGCCATTCAAACCATTATATCCATAAATGCTAGTACGTATGCATTTAGTATTTATATTTTAATAGATATCTTGAATCGCGAGTAAAGTGAGACAATACTTCGAATGATATATAAAAGACAAGATAAGAGTATTGACCCGTATTGTAAGGAGAATTTTTTTTTAAAAGTTTGCGAACCTAAGAAGCAAGTTCAACACGCATGTCACTGGTGATGTATTTTGAAACTCATTTCTCTCTATATAAAGGAACCTAATATATACGAGAATATAATACAAAAGCAATAAAAATCACAAACCAAGATGAAAACATCTCGTTTGATAACAATATCTTTCTTGCTCGTTGCCATAACAACATCATATGGTGTTGTTGGCGAAGGCACCGACGTAGTTTTTGATGCAGATGCACAGCCTGTTATGGCCAACGTTCCTTATTACATCAGCTTCATGACGTACGAGTACAAGATGTGGATTTGCCGTGTGAATATGGGATCTAATGATCCCAAGTCATGCCCACAACAACCGGTAATGATCACTAACCCACCTATAGATCTTCCCACGCAAGTTATGTTTCTATTACCATCATCAGCACCAAATAACACCGTACACGAATCTACTGAACTCAGCGTTAAGTTCATTAATCCTGGTAAATGCGGTGAATCCGGGTTCTGGAGAGTAGTTCAGAATAGTACAACTTTAGAAGGTGAAGTTGTCTTGAACGGATGTAGGTCAAACAATGATAGTAAGTTCTTTATACATAAAGATAACGAATATTACAAGTTTACTGTCGGAGACAACGACAGCGATGATCCAATCAGTATCAGTCTATCTAACGAACCAGTTGGTAGAAAAAGGCTGTTGGCGAAGAGGTTTGCTGGAGTGATGGAGGTCTATTTCTACCGGAATATTCCTAAGGAACAAGTTTAGTTTGTTTTTATGTTAACGTTTTCATTTCAAAATCAAATAAAACTTTGTTGTATAACATGATGTATACGTGAAAATGAAGTAACTAATTTATTTACAATTTTAAAATATTACTCAAATTAATCTATTTTCGGTATGTTACTAGATGCAGTTTTCAAGTACATTTAAATGACAAGAGTAAATTAAAACTTCGTCTAAATAACAAAAAAAAAAACTTGTTTATTTTGTTTGGAATGTTACTGAATGCAATTTCCAAATAAATTTAGTTGACAAAGTAAATTAAAATGGAATTTGTTTTGGTTGATCGCGAATAGGAAGGGGAGTCCGCTTTGTAAAACATGATGTTGATTAAGATCGAGTACGTGTCTACAAGATGAATGAGCCAAAGTCAGTAAGTTTTTACTAGCGTCACTTACCAAGATAATTTGGAAAGAACAATGACTAGCTTTGGTAAAGATTAGGTTTCGTAATATCGCAAACCAAACCGAAGAAGAAATGACAACTAAGAAGAGAATCACACGTGTCGTGTCGTGTCTTCATTTGTGGATATCTTCTTAAGGAAAATTACAATTAACATATATTAGACTATTTTGTTTTGATTTGTATATATCACAGACCGATTGATTTACACCATATAGATTGTGTTGATTTGATGAGGCAATAATGGAAGCATCGAAGTTACTCGCTCGATCCACTGAAGAGTGTTTTTTTTTTTTTTTTTAATCGTTGACAAAAGAAAAAAGAAAACCAACTAGTAATTTCTATAGTGGGTTTGTCCAAAAAGTCTTCTCCATATCATAAGAGGAAATGAAGTTATGTGAGAAAGAACTTGCATTATAAGTAAAGTGAGATAAAATATCGAATGTCATATAAAAAAATTAATCATCAGACCCGTTGGTTTAAAATTTGAACAATCATGAAACTTGACATTTGAAAACTTGTCTGAAGGGTATTTAATCAGTTGGTAGAGCTCTGACAAAAATTACCCCTTTGATCTATAACAAGATCATGGGAGAATCCAAGTAGATTTTTTAGTTGGATGCACAAGTGGTAAAAGAATAATACGACTAGGGCTGGGCATTTTATCCGTTATATTTGATTCGATTCGTTATTCGTTTCGATTCGATCCGAAAATTCCGGATATCCGTAAATTTTCGAATCAAAACAAATACTAAAATTCAATATCCGTTAAAATCGAAGCAAATCACAAATATTAAAATTTTGGGAAGCGGATATCCGATCCGATCCGGAAATATATAAATATATGTATATCTTGATTATATTTAAAATATTAAATGTATAAAATTATATAATTATTATTCTAGCACATGATTTAAACAATTCTATTCACATTATTACTTATANTCGAAGCAAATCACAAATATTAAAATTTTGGGAAGCGGATATCCGATCCGATCCGGAAATATATAAATATATGTATATCTTGATTATATTTAAAATATTAAATGTATAAAATTATATAATTATTATTCTAGCACATGATTTAAACAATTCTATTCACATTATTACTTATATAAAAGTATTACATAAAAGAAAGAAAAAATATGACAATATTCTTTTTCTTAAATTTGTGTTATTATAATTGTAACTTAAACTTAAAAAAATTACAAAATATGTAAATTCACTAGTTTTTAATTTTTATTTTTTATATTATGCAAACAAATATTTTTGCAAAACAAATTTGTAGCAAAATCTTAAGATTATTAGTATTAATCAAAATGGATGATATATCCGTAAATATTCGTAAATATTCGCAAATATCTATTTATTTTCCGGGTATCCATTTTTACGGATATCCGTATTTTTTCGAAACAAAGCAAATACCAAAACTAGATATCCGTAACATTCGAAGCAAATCACAAATACCTTGAAAAACCCGGATATCCGATCCGTGCCCACCCCTAAATACGACTACGAGTGAAGGCTCCATATTGTAAGGAAAAGTCATTAAGTCAACGTTAATACTTCAAGCATTTGTGGGTTCACATACCCCATGTTATCCATACTACGTACATTCGCCCATGATCAAGATCCATATTGTAAGGAATAGTCAACGTTTATAACCTTAATAAAGCAAGTGGACTAGTATTGAATCCCACTATTTCCCTAATCGCTCTCTATAAAAGGAACTTAAAATTCAAAGCCATATCACAGACACACAAAAGAAACAAAAACTCAGAAAAAAAAAAAGAAGAAGCAAAAACTCAGAAATAAACTTACACAAATATGACAACATCACGATTGATCATGATCTGTTTCTTGGTCGTTGTCATAACGACATCATCTGGTGTTAGTTGCAAAAAAAAAAAGAAACATCATGGTGTTGTTGGACAAGTGAGTGGCGTCCCTGAGCCAAGCATGGTAAAGCCTAGGCTTAGGGCTTCAACGGCCATATTTTTTTAAAACAAATGTTTATATAGTTAAAGTTTATGAGTATTTATATTTATATTGAATTGAAAAAATAATAAAAAAACACTAACAAATTTTTATAATTATAGAGCTCCCACTTCACATAAATAAATATTTTTTCTTTTTTTTTATGTGAAATTTTATTTTTCTCGTTTCTATCTCCTCTTTGGTTTCTAATTTTTTTTTTATTTTCTCTATTTTATCATTTCTTTTACTTGTAATTTATATATTTACAGTATAAACGTGGACCCCATTTTGGTTTTATTTCAGGCCCCTACTGTTGGACAAGTGAGTGGCGTTCCTGAGCCAAGCATGGTAAAGTCTAGGCCTAGCGCCAGTTTTCAAAGGCGGTTTTTAAAAAAAAAACAATATAATTAAATTTTAGAGTATTTATATGAATATTGAACTGAAAAATAAAAAAAACACTAATAAAATTTTTATAATTATATAGCCCACATTTAACATAAATAAATATTAGTTTTTATATAAATTTTTATTTTTCTCGTTCCTATCTCTAATTTGGTTTCTGAATATTTTTTATTTCCTCTATTTTATCATTTTTACTTGTATTTATGTCTTTACAACATAAACGTGGGTCCCATTTCGGTTTGTTTCAGGTCCCTGGTGTTGTTGGACAAGTGAGTAGCGTTCCCGAGCCAAGCATGGTAAACCTAGCCCTAGGGCCCCCGTTTTCAAAGTCCATATTTTTTTAAACAAATGTTTATATAATTAATGTTTAAGAGTATTTATATGTACATTTAATTGGAAAAAGAAAAAAAACACTAATATTTTTTTATAATTATAGAGCCCACATTTAACATAAACTAGATTTTGACCCGCGCAACCGCGCGGGTGTTTTATTTTATATATATACATATTTGTTTTACAAAGATAGTGGTATATTTTTTAGCGTTAATTATACATTTAAATGTTTATATAAATATTTCAAATACAATAATTTTATAATTACATTTCGGGACTAATCAATTATTTCAAATTGTCATGTTAATTTGTTGTTTTTTATTATATATGTATCTTATTGAATTTGCATTTGATTATTAAACATACATGAGACAACATATTTACAAATTAATTTGTATTTAATTTATACTAAACTCTTACCCGCAAATCAAAGGTCTATATGATCTTTTAGTAAATTTTTGTGTTTATTCATTTTAGATAATATCTTATATAAAAGTGTAAGATATGTTAATGTATAAACATTTATTGTATAGTTTATTATGTGTAACCTTTTTGCTAACATACTATATTATTTTAACATAAATATTTATATTTTCGAAATAAAATATATTAATATATTATTTGAATATAATTTTATCATATTTAATTCAATATAATAATTATAAAATAAATAAAAATATGCTGGAATTTTATTTGTTTATTTTATAAATGATAACTGAATATATAATAATGTATACTAACATTTTATTAATCAAGATATTTAGCTTTGAAAATTAACTTATAAAATAGATACTGGAATTAGTTTAGGTAGTATCCTACACGTATTTAGGGATGCTTTTGATTAAATAAGTGTATAATGACATAAATAAAAATCTTAGATATAGTAAATGATTATAATTATTTAAAAGGATAGTCCAACTCAAAAAATCACACATGAAATGAGTCATGACTTCTCTTTTAATATAATAGATAATTTTTCTTTTTTATATAAATTATTAGTTTCTCGTTCCTATCTCCTATTTGGTTTATGATATTTTTTTATTTCTTCTACTTTATTGTTTTTACTTGTATTTTACGTCTTTACAATATAAATATGGTCCCATTTTGGTTTGTTTCAGGCCCCTGGTGTTGTTGGACAAGTGAGTAGCCCTAGCCCTAGCCCTGGTGTTCCTGAGCCAAGCATGGTAAAGCCTAGTCTAGGGCCTCCGTTTGCAAAGGCCATATCTATTATATTAAAAGAGAAGTCATGACTCACTTCATGTGTGATATTTTAGTTTGCACCATCTTTAGAGTTTTATAAAATTTTATAAAATTTTACATAACATTATAATATCTTTTTATATCTTTAATTTTTGTTTGAAATACAAATAAATAGTTTTAATAAAATTCTAAGAAAATCTTTTAAAAATCTTTTAGAATATTTTTCAAGATATCGTTTCAAAAATTATTTGATTTAAAATTTTAACTATCATAAAATATAATTAAATTTTAATTACTTTTTAATTTATAAACAAAAAATTAAAATTATGTAAAATACTTTTAACAATATCCCAAAATTTTGTTTATGTATTATGTAAGTCTAACTTAATTAATTTTGACATAGATTTCAAATTTAGAAATAAAACAATATATAGAAATTAGTAATCTTACATAATAATGTTTTTAAAAATGTTACAAAAATACAATTTTATAAATTTTATATTAATACTTATTTTTGATAAATTTTTATGTAATTTCAAATATTTTTGTATTAAAATACCCGCACGGTTGTGCGGGTCGAAATCTAGTATTTGTTAAAAAATGTTTATATAATTATTGTTTAGGAGTATTTATATGTACATTTAATTGGAAAAAGAAAAAAAACACTAATATTTTTTTTATAATTATAGAGCCCACATTTAACATAAATAAATCTTCTTTTTATATAATTTTTTATTTTTCTCGTTCATATCTCCTAATTGGTTTCTGAGTATTTTTTATTTTCTCTATTCTACCATTTCTTTTACTTGTATTTTATGTCTTTACAACATAAACGTGGGTCTCATTTTGGTTTGTTTCAGGCCCCTGGTGTTGTTGGACAAGTGAGTAGCGTTCCCGAGCCAAGCATGGTAAACCTAGCCCTAGGGCCCCCGTTTTCAAAGGCCATATTTAAAAAAAAAATGTTTATATAATTAATGTTTATGAGTATTTATATGTACATTTAATTGGAAAAAAAAGAAAAAAACACTAATATTTTTATAATTATAGAGCCCACATTTAACATAAATAAATCTCTTTTTATATAATTTTTTTAATTTCTCATTCCTATCTCCTATTTGGTTTCTGATATTTTTTTTATTTCCTCTACTTTATCATTTTTACTTGTATTTTACGTCTTTACAATATAAATATGGGTCCTATTTTGGTTTGTTTCAGGCCCCTGGTGTTGTTGGACAAGTGAGTAGCCCTAGCCCTAGCCCTGGTGTTCCTGAGCCAAGCATGGTAAAGCCTAGCCCTAGGGCCTCCGTTTTCAAAGGCCATATATTTTTTAAAAAATGTTTATATAATAAATGTTTAGGAGTATTTATACGTACATTTAATTGGAAAAAGAAAAAAACGTTAATAATTTTTATATTATTATAGAGCCCACATTTAACATAAATAAACTTTTTTATATATTTTTTTTTCTCGTTCCTATCTCCTAATTGGTTTCTGAGTATTTTTTTTTCTCTACTTTACCATTTCTTTTACTTGTATTTTATGTCTTTACAATATAAACGTGGGCTCCATTTCGGTTTTGTTTCAGGCCCCGGCCCCGGCCCCACAAGGACCGCCCCCCAGGAAGGACGTTGTGTTTTCTGTAGACGGAGGGCCAGTCTTGCCCAACGTTCCCTATTACATCAGCTTCATGTCGGCCGACTACAACATGTGGATTTGCCGAATGAATCCAAGTTCCTCAGATCCCAATTCATGCCCACACCAACCGATAATGTTCACTAGACCAACTATAGCCCCCACGCCTGTTATGTTTATATTACCATCATCAACACCAGATACTTATATACGTGAATCAACCAAGCTTAGCATTAAGTTCGCAAACCCAAGTCAATGCGGCGAATCAGGGGTTTGGAGAGTAGCAAATGGTGAAGTAGGCCTGAACGGAGTTGAGGGAAGGGAAGATAGTTTGTTCGAAATCCACATGACTGACTCATATTACAAGTTTACTATCGGTGAAAGTATCTATCCAGACGTTTATGCAACGAGTATCAGTTTATCTAACAGTCGAATTGGTAAAGATAGGTTGATAGCGAAGCAGCCTTCTGGAGAGATGGAAGTTAATTTCTTCCAACATTATCCACCTGAATATGAATATTAAGTCATACGTTTCGTTTTTACCCGGGCTTATTATGTAACGTTTCCATTTCAATATTAAATAAAACTTGTTGTAAACATCTGATGAATACTCGTGTAATGCTTTCAACTTTAATATAATGTTTCATTTCAAAACTAAATAAAACATGTTGTCAAACAAACACATGGTATTGTTTTCTTATAATATTTGTTATTATTGCATGAATACGTGATAAATGAAGTATCTCACAATTTCTTATTAGCACAATTTGTATAATTTTATCATATTAAAAACGCCATGAATGTAACGGGATTTTTATTTATATTCTTTGCCTCATATATTATTCAAACGCCAAGAATGTAACAGGCTAACAACTCTCGTTGCTGTCTCTTGTCTCCGTTGCAGTCTCTTCGAGTAGCTCCACCATGGGGAATTGGGCAGCAAACTAACTTATGGGTCAACATAAGCAATTACAAATAGACTGTAAAATAATTGCTTTGCCAATTTTTTTTTTTGTATTTCAAAATGTTTGATGATATGCTAGATCAAACTGGGTAGCAAAGTAGTTGTTCATATTCATTATTTTACATACTATTTGTTATTGCTTTGTGATTTTTTTTTGTATTTCAAAATGTTGAATGATATGCTAGATTAATTCTCTTTTTGTGTATTCTATTTTTATAATCAAACGTAAAACCATGAAATTATTCTATTCTACAAAATGTCTTAGCTTCTTTCACTTCAAATTATATCAATTAGAATTTAAAACAAAAAAAAATATAAACAACTTATAGATCAAAAGTTTCCAATTTTTATTTAGTATACTGCCATATAACTAACTACAAAATCACTTCACTTTCTTTCTAACTATTTTTAAATCAGATTATATTAAACAATTTTTTTTTGTCGACATGTTAAACAAAGTATTTAACTATAAGAAAATATATTTTTAACAACAAAAATAAATAAGTTTTTTTTTCTTGTTAATTAAGAGGCTTTTAATGGGAATGTTACTAGATGCAGTTTTCAAGTACATTTAAATGACAGAGTAAATTAAAACTTCGTCTAAATAACAAAAAAACTTGTTTATTTTGTTTGGAATGTTACTGAATGCAATTTCCAAATAAATTTAGTTGACAAAGTAAATTAAAATGGAATTAGTTTTGGTTGATCGCGAATAGGGACGGCGAGTCCGCTTTGTAAAACATGATGTTGGTTAAGATCGAGTACGTGTCTACGAGATGAATGAGCCAAAGTCAGTAAGATTTTACTACCGTCACTTACCAAGATAATTTGGAAAGAACAATGACTAGCGTTGGTAAAGATTAGGTTTCGTATAAAAAAAAATATAGCAAACCCAGGGCCAGCTTAACTTTATCATGGGTTCTAGGGCAAATTTTTTTTTTTTTACCTTTTAAAATTTATAATTATTCAATATTTTAAAAAAAAAAATTTTGTTTAAAATTTCAATAGTAATATTTGCTATATTTTGTGATGAAAATAAAACTATATACATATAGAAAATTATTGGACCCTTTTTCGGTTTTATTTATTAAAATTTTAATTTTTTTATATAAAAATATGTATTTAGAAAAAAAATTGGACCATTTCATTATTAATATATGGGGATACAGATTTGGATCCAGGACGATCGTACCATTTGTCCCCCTTAGTTAGCCTGCCCTGAGCAAACCAAACCGAAGAAGAAATGACAACTAAGAAGAGAATCAGACGTGTCGTGTCTTAATTTGTGCATATATTCTTACGGAAAATACAATTAACATATATCAGACTATTTTGTTTTGATTTGTATATATCACAGACCGATTGATTTACACCATATATATTGTGTTGATTTGATGAGGCAAATTATGAAAGCATCGAAGTTACTCGCTCGATCCACTGAATAGTGTTTTTTTTTTCCAATCGTTGACAAAAAAAAACCAACTTGTAATTTCTATGGTGGGTTTGTCCAAAAAGTCTTCTCCATAGGATCATATTATAAGAGGAACTGAAGTTATGACTACGCGTGGCATTGACGTCACTATTTTCATAGTTTGTACATTAACCATCTAAAATGTGAGAAAGAACTTGCATTATAAGTAAAGTGAGATAAAATATCGAATGTCATATAAAAAAATTAATCATCAGACCCGTTGGTTTAAAATTTAAACAATCATGAAAGTTAACATTTGAAAACTTGTCTGAAGGGTATTTAATCAGTTGGTAGAGCTCTGACAAAAATTACCCCTTTGATCTATAACAAGATCATGGGCGAATCCAAGTGGATTTTTTAGTTGGATGCACAAGTGGTAAAAGTATAATACGACTACGAGTGAAGGATCCATATTGTAAGGAAAAGTCATTAAGTCAACGTTAATACTTCAAGCATTTGTGGGTTCACATACCCCATGTTATCCATACTACGTACATTCGCCCATGATCAAGATCCATATTGTAAGGAATAGTCAACGTTTATAAGTTTATAACCTTAATAAAGCAAGTGGACTAGTATTGAATCCCACTATTTCCCTAATCGCTCTCTATAAAAGGAACTTAAAATTCAAAGCCATATCACAGACACACAAAAGAAACAAAAACTCTGAAAAAAGAAGCAAAACACTCCGAAATAAACATACACAAATATGACAACATCACGATTGATCATGATCTGTTTCTTGGTCGTTGTCATAACGACATCATCTGGTGTTAGTTGCAAAAAAAAGAAAAAACATCATGGTGTTGTTGGACAAGTGAGTGGCGTCCCTGAGCCAAGCATGGTAAAACCTAGGCCTATGGCCCTGTTTTCAAAAGCCATATTTTTTTTTTTTAAAAGTGTTCATATAATTTAAATTTACGAGTGTTTATATGTATATTGAATTTAAAAAAAAAAAACTAACAATTTTTTTCTAGTTATAGAGCTTCCATTTAACATAAATAGTCTTCTTTATTATGTAAATTATTATTTTTCTCGTTTCTATCTCCTCTTTGGTTTCTAAATTTTTTTTCTCTACTCTATCATTTCTTTTACTTGTAACTTACGTCTTTACAGTATAAACGTGGGTCCTATTTTGGTTTTGTTTCAGGCCCCTAGTATTCAAGGACCGCCTACCGTTGTTGGACAAGTGAGTGTCGTTTTTTAAAAAAATGTTTATATAATTAAAGTTTAGGAGTACTTATATGTACATTGAATTTTTTTAAAAAAAGAAAAAAATAATAAAAATGTATAATTATAGAGCTCACATTTAACATAAATAAATCTTATTTTTTATATATTTTTTTATTTTTCTCGTTCCTATCTCTTCTTTAGTTTCTGAGTATTTTTTATTTCCTCTACTTTATCATTTTTAACTTGTACTTTATGTCTTTACAATATAAACATGGGTTTCATTTCGGTTTGTTTCAGGCCCCTGGTATTCAAGGACCGTCTAGTGTTGTTGGACAAGTGAGTGGCGCTCCTGAGCCAAGCATGGTAAAGCCTAGCCCAAGGTCCCCCCGTTTTCAAAGGCCATATTTAAAAAAAAATGTTTATATAATTAATGTTTAGGAGTATTTATGGGTACATTTAATTTGAAAAAATAAAAAAAAACACTAATATTTTTTCTTATAATTATAGAGCCCACATTTAACATAAATAAATCTTTTTTTTATATATAAATTTTTATTTTTTTCTGGTTCATATCTCCTCTTTGGTTTCTGAGTATTTTTTTATTTCTTCTACTTTATCATGTTTTACTTGTATTTTATGTCTTTACAATATACAAGCATGGGTTCCCTTTCCATTTGTTTCAGGCCCCTGGTATTCAAGGACCACCTGGCGTTGTTGGACAAGTGAGTGGCGCTCCTGAGCCAAGCATGGTAAAGCCTAGCCCTAGGGCCCCTGTTTTCAAAGGCCATATTTTTAAAAAAAAATGTTTATATAATTAATGTTTAGGAGTATTATATGTACATTTAATTGGAAAAAAGAAAAAGACACTAATATTTTTTTTATAATTATAGAGCCCACATTTAACATAAATAAATCTTCTTTTTAATATATTTTTTTTTATTTTTTCTCCTTCCTATCTTCTCTTTGATTTCTGAGTAGTTTTTTATTTCCTCTACTTTACCATTTCTTTTACTTGTATTCTATGTCTTTACAATATAAACGTGGGCTCCATTTTGGTTTTGTTTCAGGCCCCTGTACAAGGACCGCCCCCGGTGAAGGACGTAGTGTTTTCCGTAGACGGAGGGCCAGTCTTGCCCAACGTTCCCTATTACATCAGCTTCATGTCGGCTGACTACAACATGTGGATTTGCCGAATGAATCCAAGTTCCTCAGATCCCAATGCATGCCCACACCAACCGGTAATGTTCACTAGACCAACTATAGCACCCACGCCTGTTATGTTTATATTACCATCATCAACACAAGATACTGTCATACGTGAATCAACCAAGCTTAGCATTAAGTTCGTAAACCCAAGTCAATGCGGCGAATCATCAGGGGTTTGGAGAGTAGCAAATGGTGAAGTCGTCCTGGGCGGAGTTGAGGGAAGGGAAGATAGTTTGTTCTCAATCCACATGACTGACTCATATTACAAGTTTGCTATCGGTGAAAGTGTCTATCCAGACGTTTATGAAACGAGTATCAGTTTATCTAACAGTCCAATTGGTAAAGATAGGTTGATAGCGAAGTTTCCTTCTGGAGTGATGGAGATTTATTTCTTCCAACATTATCCACCTGAATATGAATATTAAGTCATATGTTTCGTTTTTTTACCCGGGCTTATTATGTAATGTTTTCATTTCAATATTAAATAAAACTTGTTGTAAACATATGATGAATACTCATGTAATGTTTTCAACTTTAATGTTACGTTTTCAATATCAAAACTAAATAAAACATGTTATCAAACACATGGGATTGTTTTCTTATCATATTTTTTTTTGTTCAAAAAACTTATCATATTTGTTATTATAGCATGAATACGTGATAAATGAAGTATCTCATAATTTCAAATTAGCACAATTTGTATAATTTATCATATTAAAAACGCCATGAATGCAACGGGATTTTTATTTATATGCTTCACCTCATATTATTCAAACGCCAAGAATATAACAGGCTAACAGCTCTCGTTGCAGTCTATTGTCTCTGTTGCAGTCTCTTCGAGTAGCTCAACCATGGGCTAGTTTTAAATTGGGTAGCAAAGTATAGCTTATGGGTCAACATAAGCAATTACAAATAGACTGTAAAATAATTGCTTTGTCATTTTTTTTTGTATTTCAAAATGTTTAACGGTATGCTAGATTAAATTGGGTAGCAAAGTAGTTGTTCATATTCATTATTTTACATACTATTTTGCTTTGTGGTTATTATTTTTTTTTGTATTTCAAAATGTTTAATGATATGCTAGATTGTTTCTCTTTTTGTGTATTCTTATTTTTTTAATCAAAAGTAAAAACATGTAATGATACTATTCTACAAAACTATATATTAGAGTTTAACCCACACACATATCCCTAAAACCTAAATAAAAAAACTATATACTAGAATTTGACCCACACAGATTTTTCATTTTATAAATAAATTTTAAATATATGATTTATATTTAATTTTATATATTATATAATTCTATAATTTTTTTATTTAAGTTTTTTATTCATCATTATCAATATATAGTAATTTGTTTTATATATTTTAATTTATATTCATATTGATTGTTATTGTTTATTAATATATTTTTTGAGTTTGATACATAAATTTTAATCTGAAATAATCAAATATATATCTTCTTTAATATAGAGTTTTAGTTTATACAATCTGCATACAATACATTTTAACATTTATTTAAATATACTATAGATAAATATTTGTTAATGATAGTTTATATTTTCATGTTGTGTTTAAAAATGATACATTAACATCTATCATTTGCGAGACTTAATATTTTGCGAGACTTTATAAATAAATATATTGTTATTTATTGATAATTTTTTTTTATAAACTATAAATAAAAAGAAAATCCGCACGGTTGTGATGATCGAGATCTAGTTATAGTTTTAGATCAAAGTTCGTAATTTTATTTATTATACTGCCATGTAATTACAAAATCAGTTCACTCTCTTTACTTAATCATTTGTAAATCAGATTATGTTAAACAAAGTATACCTAAAAATATATTTTTAACAACAAAAATAAATAAGTTTTTTTTCTTGTTAATTAAGAGGCTTTTAATGGGCTTTAGAAGATATAGCTCGTCTCCTTCTTCTTGTTCTTCTTCCTCTCTCTCTCTCTCAGATTCGCTCTCATACTCTCCTCCAAAGAAAGCAAAAGCTACTTTGATCGATCTTCCTGATCTCGTTTCTAATTGTAAGTTTTGTTATCCCCTTCTTCATTATTTGTATAGATCTCAGAATCCAGTTAAGTGATAAATAGATCACAGTTTGCATTAACGATAAAATTGAGAAACCAGATCGATCTCCATGTTCTGTTTTAACAACCTTACTTAGACTAATTGGGTTATTGTCGTAAAGTCCTTAGCTTTGTCGGAATTTACCGGAACCCATGTCGTGAAATCGTTACATCGAGTAGAAAGTCGTAACCTTTCAGCCCAATTCAATTCAGTTTAGGGTTTCTGAGGCTATAGATTTTTCAGAACAACAAGCAAAGTTCTCACCTTTGCTCTAATTTAAAACTATAAGCTTGAGGCACAAGTAAAGTTCTTTCCTTTTTAACAGACATTAATTGTAATTTGAAAACTTGTGTTGTCAGATTCAGTAGAAAGTCCTAATCTTTCAGCTCAATTCAATACAATTTAGGGTTTCTGAGGCTATAGATTTTACAGAACAACAAGCAAAGTTCTCACCTTTGCGCTAATTTAAAACTATAAGCTGAAGGGCAAGCAAAGCTCTTTCCTATTATGTTTAATGTTGAAAACTTGTGTTGTCAGATTTGTAATGGGCTCATCTGAGAAGAGATCAAAGGATGTTATGAGTGACATACCAACCTTCAGTGGAGAGAATCTGCAGAAGAATTTGAAAGTTATACAGAACAGGTTTTTGATTTTTATACACATATTCTCTCTTGTTATTTTTTTGTAATGTATCATCTCTTGTTTTTGACTATGTTTGTGAGTCTTGTTTGCAGCCGGACGTTTCTGTCTATCATCGCTGGAGTCCTTGCAGGGATAATTGGATTCAATGGCTTGACTGGTTTTGTGTTTTACTTTGTGGTGATGTTGATCACATCTGTTGGACTCATGGCCAAGGCAGGATTCTCTGCAGACTTGTACTTTGATTCGTGGAATCGTGTTCTTTTTGATGGCTTTCTTGGTGGTCTTATGGTATGACATCTCAGCTCAACCTAAGCTATTTTTGTTTTTATCAACGTATGAAGAAGCTCTTGCTAATTACTGTCTTGTTTTTTATCTTTTTTGCAGTCTTTTGTGCTGTTCTGGACGTATCCTTTTGATCTTAATCTCTGGTGGTGAATACTCGTTTGATTAAATTGTGAATAAGTAGATCCTTGGTTTGATTAGCTTTATGAAAGAAGTAAGAATATATGAATGGTATAGTGTAGGTGAAAGTGATAAGCTCTTTAGAACTTATTAGATTCTAGGTAGCCTAACATTGCACATTAGAAAACAGCTCTCTGTTTCTCTCAGTATGTTATTGTTATCTTAACGATGGAGTAGATTTGCTTATGACTTGGTTCACATATTCTGAGGGATATCTTCTGCTGCAAATGAAGATGATCAAACAACACACATGAAGAAGTGATGTAACTTATGAGTTTGGTACCTGCAGAAGATTGGAAATTGTTTTCTCTGGTTCCCTTTTTGAACAACAGATTATGAGTCTATTACTTTTCCTTTGTTTCAATTTTACTTGAGATTACATTAACTGTGAAACCTTTGGATTGAGTAGTTAAATTTTTTTTTTTAATTTCCCTTTCTTCAAATTTCAAGTTTCATACTAAAAAGTATCAAAAGTTGGCTGAATAGCACTTTATCATGCAAGTTTCAAATTCATAAGAAGATATAGAGAGTCATTGTGCTCCATTTTAAGGCAAAACTGCACAAGAATCAAGTCAAAAACTATTGGACAGTTTTCAGCTTTATTGTAATTCGAATTAAGATCCAACATTCTGATTTTCTTAACAAATGCCTTTAGACCATCATTAACCATAGTTTCTTTATTGGAATTTTTAGTTTCGGCTAAAAACCATCTTTTAAATAAGAAACATAATAACTATATTTTATCTGAAAAAATGTAAACAGAAAATAATAAAATATCAAATCATGAATGAATAATTGCAGTTAGGACATTGGGGTTAATCGTTACTCAAAAAAAAAACACTGGGATTAGTTATGCCCTTAGGAAGCAAAGGAACACAACTATATTTAATAACTCCAAAATCTATTAGTGAAATTCTCACTCGGCCCAAGTTTTCATAATCTCAATAAAATTGTTTTGCTTGTTCATTATATATAGACTTAGTTTAGAACTCCATTTCTGACTTCTTTTAATGAAGATAATTTGGGCTTGGTCCATACCAATATATATGGTTGAGGCTAAGTATTTTGTAAAGTAGTTATAGTTGATAAAAAAGAAGTTTAATATAAATAAATAAAAAAGAGTCCCGGGGTTCGTTCATCAAGTCTGGCTCAACTAGTTCAACTCATTTTACTCAACAATTAAGACCTAACACAACCGGAGTATGTATGTACAACAGTACAAGTGCCATGTTTGCAGCTTTACGTACGAGAACTGGGCTATTAAAGAAACATATTGATTACTATTAACTCTCCATAATATACAAAACATGCTTTGTTTTTATACTTAGTTGGTGATGGAGTAGGGTTGATGAGTAGCCTGTTAGAACTCTTTCTGTTTCTATTCTTTAGTGTTTAAACGACAGTCCATTATGGACATTACTAACTCTATGCTTTTTGCATTTACTTTTATAGTATTTAATATCAGCCATACATCACTTGCGTAGCTATTGCCTTCCTGAAAAAGACCCAAGGCACATATGCACACATATATAGCTCCACGCATAAACTTTATGATATATAAATGTTCAAAAAAAACTTTATGATATATATGTACACATCGGTGTGTGGTTTTAGGTTTGTGTTTGTTAATTAATGTCAAAAGATGACTTACAAAATACGGATATAAGAAATATAAAGACATTATATAATTCAGTTTTCTTATCCTGCATGTAATACTTTTTATAAGAAAACTTACGCTAGATACAATACTGTTTGCATTTGGTTATGAGAAAGAAGAAATAAATAAATAATATTGATTATGTTAAAATATGGTCTATATGGCCATATCTACAGAAAATGTTGGGTCAGGTACGCATGTACACCCAAATGGTGTGCTTATCAATCCTAAAAGTCTTTTTGAATGTTATTTTGTGATTAATGGAAGACTAACATAAAAGTCGCCGCGAAGAAAACTATAAAAGGGACTTTGAGTTTAAGGCCAAAAGACCTCTCCTGAGTGTTATATAGAGATGAATATGAATTTACATTTATTTGTATACCAAAAGCTAATATGTAGACCAAAGCTATTTGTGTTGTATTGTGTAAGCTATCTATCATATTTGTTGAAATTGTAGTGCATATTCGTCGTGGATAAATTGTGTGCGTACGTGTGAATTAGTATGAAGGGATAGTATAATCGTTATGCTTGAAAATTGAGCATATATATGTGTGAATAAGTATGAAGGGATAGCATAATCGTTATGAAACTTGAAAATTGAGCATATATATGAACAATCAATTATGTGATCAATATGTACACAATGATTGGAATTTGATATAAATACAATAAATGTAAGACTTGAATAAAAACGAGAGCCGGAATAGTTGACAGAATGATTACAAATTAAATGGTATGAAAAGTCTATATATAATTTAACCGAACTCCAAAGGCATGTACTCATATACTCCTAGATAGGGCTGGGCATTTTATTCGTTAAATTTGATTCGATTCGTTATTCGTCTCGATTAGATCCGAAAATTTCGGATATCCGTAAACTTTCGAATCAAAGCAAATACGAAAAATCAATATCCGTTAAAATCGAAGCAAATCACAAATATTAAAATTTTAGGAAGCGGATATCCGATCCGATCCGGAAATATATAAATATATGTATATTTTGATTATATTTAAAATTTTAAATGTATAAAATTATTATTATAGCTTATGATTTAACTAATTAGATTCACATTATTACTTATATAAAATTATTAGATAAAAATAAGAGAAAAATTATGAAAATTATAAAAAAAAATCTTAAGTTTTGTGTTATTATAGTTGTTAACTTAAACATAAAAATTATAAAATATGTAAATTCACTACTTCTTTATTTTTTTATTTTATATATCATGTAAAAGAAAATTTACAAAATAAATTTATATAAGATTATTTGTAATGGATGAGATATTCGTACGTATTCGTAAATATCCGCAAATATCTGTTTATTTTCTGGATATCCGTTTTTCCGGATATCCGTATTTTTCCGAAGCAAAGCAAATACCAAAATCAGATATCCGTAACATACGAAGCAAATCACAAATACCTTCGAAAACCCGGATATCCGATCCGTGCCCACCCCTACTCCTAGATATATAACCATAGCAAATGTATTAATTTTATTTATAGATTACACCCTCCTCTGACCATATTCTTCGAAGAAAATGTATATTATTGTTAAAACTCAATACAAAAATGAATTTATATCTATATCACATATGCTACAAACCTATGTTTCTAGTTAGTTATTCGATACTAGATATTGATGAAGAAAAACATTAGACAGCCAGCCAGCAATATCGGTTTAATTATCTAAACCGGCCAAAAATTCCTCATAAAACATATCAACCGGTTCTGGTCCCAAAAAAAACAATTCCCCCGGCCAAAAAAAAAACGTTCTTTATTTCTTATCATCTTCATTGATTCTGTTGTTAATAGTATCCGACCTGATCTTAGAAGGAAGAATATCTTGAAGTAATCCATGATCTCTAATGGCCGAAGTAGTTGAAGTGTAAGCTTGTGACAGCACATCATAACTAAATCCATGTAATGATGATGATCGTGGATTTACGAAAGTGCCATCTGAGGAGGTTTGATTGGTCATGTTTGGAGAGTTGTTGTACATGCTACTGTACGGTTGATGATGCCTCGTCAGCAAGTAGTGTGGCTGAGGGATAGCGAATGATGTTGGCGACGCCTTGTTGAGAATTGGTGACGTAAGCATTGCGATGTGTCCACGTGTCATGGGGAAAGGGTGAGAGTGTTGACCTTCGTAGGTTGTCATGACGATGTAAGGATCGTCAGAGGATCTCTCCACTCTCTTCTTCACTCCACAGCCCACTGTGGTGCAACGGTAATAGCTTCTGCTCATTAAAAAAAAAAATTGATATTACATATATTATACTTATAAATTAAATTAAACTATTTACTATAGAGTATGAGGAGAATGAATTTTGGAAGATATGAGAGGAACATAAGATTTCTAGATCTGAGATGAAGTTTGGAACAAGTTGAAATAGACACGAGCAGCAAAAATCAAAGGGAGGAAAAAAACACAGAAACCTCATGGAATGGAAAAATACAAGATAAATAAATTCTTGGAAACGAAAATTCAAATATTTTTATTTACCCAAAAAAAAAAATTCAAACATTTTGAACCCAACACACACATGTAGTAGGTATATATAGTCGTATATATATATTATCATAGTGAACATTTATATAGTATGAATTAGAGTCATGTGTTATGCACATTGTCCGGGCATGTATAGAGAGCACAATGAATCTAGGGCTAATACAACATCTAGCAAATGCTATATGAAACCAAAAAAAAATTCATGTAGAAATTGTAGATGATCCTTATGAATAGGAAAAACTGGATCATATAAAGTATGTTCCTTATGCATATAAAGTATTATATAAACACAGATGAATGCAAAATGATGATATATATATGGATTTAGCTAGGGCACATGTATACAGAGTAGTAATATATATTACCTGGGATAAGGACTGTTTTTGACAGCTTTCTGGCCGTACTTTCTCCACCTATAACCATCGTCAAGATTATCAATATCGCTCCTCGTCAGAAACGCAAACCTAGCCTCTCTTGCCTTCTTTTGGTTCTTCTTCTTTGCCTTCAACCTTCAAAACATAATTAATATTCACACAAAGATTTAATATATTCCAAATGTAAAATTGGAAGTTAAACTAATTACTTACTGTGGCTTAGTACCCTTTTGTTCTTGTTGTTCTCCTTCTTCTGGATCTTTAAGAATAACCTCTTTATCAGTAATATCATTTGCAGCTTCCTTGGATGAAGAGGAGACTGAGGTTGAGTTTGGAGATGTTGGTGCTGCGTTCACAACTTCTGATGACGCAGCCTTTGTTGTTGAAGGTTGAAGCAAGGGTAAATCCGTAAAAAAGAGGTTGGTATTGTTGTTTTGGAGAGGAAGGGCATATGAAAAAGAAGATGAGTTAGAGGAGGAAGAAAATTGATGATTGTCTTGTGGGAGAAAGTCAAGAAAAGGATTCGGATCTTCTAAATAAGAATAAGGAAAAGGTGATGAAACTGGAGCATCGAAGATGCTTGAGAGATTGATGTTGTTCCCAGCTAGCTCCAACTGATTATGGTGGTGATCTGATGAGGTATCTAGATTCTCCATGTGTGATGATGATGATGTTGCTTGAAAGATTTGTTGCTGGATCTTAGTCTCTGTGTTCTTGGTACTGTTGAGCTGCTCCTTTTGTTGTTGTTGTTGTTGTTGATGATGGTGATGATCCTCTTCTATCTTCTTCTCCATGTAATATAAAAGATGGAATCTCTAAGAGGATATGTTATAGAGATGTCATCATCATTTTGTCATCTTCAGATGAGAGAACTTTTCTTTAGGTTTTAAGGTGATTTGATAATATGTTATTTTGTAAATGGTTTGTGTGATTTGAGATAAGAAAGGGAGAGAAATAGAGGTGTGAATATAACCTTTGTGGAGTTTTAGTTCTTCTGGAAAACAGCTTGGATTTAGGAGGTTTCCCATTAGTTTTGTATTATTATTTTATGTCCTCTCATTTACGCGGGCAAGAATATTAAAAGGTAATAATAAAAATATAATAAAAATGATATATATATGTAATGTTGCCAAACAAAAACTGGTCACCGGTAAACGCCAGCGTACGGTCATGAATGGCATCGTGACGGTGCCGTCCTTCGCCGGGAATTTAATTTTTTTTTTTTTGTATAAATCGGGAATTTAATTTTTTTTTTTGTCCCTTCATTTCAGTTCATTTATTCTTTATTCGCACATTGTGTCGTGGTAACGGCATAGTCACAGTTTGGTCTCTCATTTTATTCGTGTTTACGTTTCTTTTTTACAACGAGCGTGAAAAAAATAACTCTTTGCAAATGATTTGTGTCACATAAGTTGGATGGGTTACGATTTTTTTTTTTTTGGTTACAAGTTACAACTACAAGGATGTGGATTTCGAAGGTAACAATTCAATATCAACTGGATTCTTAACGTGAATATAAAAATGTAAAGCTTCAACATTACATTTACATAGTATTACAAACTGAAGCAACATGTTTAACTCATGTAGTATTTGGTTATATGAATAGTAATTAGTGTAATAGCATGGAAGATTAGCGCGTGAAAAAATAACACGTAGACATAGAAAACGAAAAGGTGTGGCCACATGTGATTATTGGTCTATTCATTTTTCAATGTTACTCCTGGCGGCTTTCCTTTGATTTTTAACTTTTACGGCTAATTGTTTTTTTCATTATAAACCTTCTTTTGTCTGGAGAAGAAATCTGTGATCCTGACATAAATTTTAGAGTTTTTTACATTGTAAGGCAGTTTTGAGTTTTTAATAACACTATAGGGCAGTTTGTGCTATTGAGGTAGTTTTTTGTAACTACAAACTAATTAAATTCATTCTCCTAACAAAATGGACCCCACAGTTTTAATGTATCTTCTTTCTCTTTTCGTAACTTTTTTTTAATTCATTCTCCTAACAAAAGAAGCTGAATAACAATGGCTTTAAAATGATAAAAGAGGATAAAGATGAAGACTTGGTCTTTATAAGATTATTTGGTCAGATTCTTGTTGCAGAGTCTTCATCTGAACAAATCTCTTGTCCCAAACGCTTCTCTTCATCTCTTTCTTTGTCATTTCTTCCGATGCGTTGATTCATCTCGTCATCTCTTTTGTTCCATTTCAACATTTTTCCCGGCTTATTGACTTCATCTCTCTCGCCGTCACAATGCTGTAGAAGCTTGAAAATATTAATGGCCATTTTTGGCTTTTTTGCACATTTGGTCCTTAAAATTTTGTATAATTTTGTTTTTTACCCAAAACTTTTTTGCTTTCATTTTTGCCTCCAAAAACTTTTAAAAATAAACAATTATATCTTTGATTTAGCTCGAAATTAACCAACTATATATATTACAATCCTCTGTTAAAACTAAAATAATTAAGCAATATATGCACATAATTAAATGCATTAGAAAGTAAATAAACTAAAATAAAACCTAAAAATCAGTAGATATGAATGACACACAAAATCATGTGTACAGATATTGTCATGTACACCATTTTCAGTTTGACTTAATCTATTTATTATGTATTTTGTTTTTTTTTAATAAGCAATCGTCAAATTCACCTATGGGTGTACAATTTCTTCACGTATATTGAGTCATTTCATTGTACACGTGTACTCGTCATTAAATGTACACAAAATAACTTGTCCAATTTGTCTCAAACTTCTAATATGTTCAAATTTCTTCATAAATTTGCCTAGAGACTTTTAAATGTGCTATCTGGACCAATTTGTTTTTGCCTCATTGGTCCATATCACGTCGTTTCATTTCATTTATGCCCCATACATTTCTGATTTGCAAATAAATCTTTGCTATTTGGATCCAAACTTTCAAATATGCATTCTAGCCTCCGTATGTGTAAATGAGCACACAAATATCGTCAACGTGTACACATATATTATATTGTACATGTGTACAATATTATATGAAGTGATAGATGTACACAGACTCATTTGTAAATTTCTCAAATTATGATATTTAATAATTTTAATGATTTTGAATATAGTTACTAAAAAGATGCATTTAGAGGTTTTTGGTACATTTATTTGTTCATTTCATTTTATAAGGTTTAAAATGCAAATTTCAAGTTAATTGAAGAGGACTTATTTTCAAATCTGAAAGTTTTAGGGTAATAGTGAAAATATTTATAAATGTAAGGACTACATATGAAAATTAAAGAAATTTAATTTCAAGATTCAACAATGGCGATTCAATTTCAGATGCAGCGGCGACTTCCTTTTACGGTCCACCGGAGGCACGAAGAGAGGATGATATCACCACGGAAATCTCTTTGGACACCATGAAAAAAAGGCTGAGGACATGATATTGAAGCTTCTCATCGGTCTTGATATATTACAGAAAAAAATATATGTGTAGAAGAAAGATAACTATGGTTTGTGATGATAAATCGGTTTTGTATTCGTGACTTCATCTGAATTTTGTAGAGATTATCTTTAGAAAAAAAGAAATGAAAATCAAAGATTTTAAAACGGAAAAGCTGAAAAATTTTCAGAAAAAATGAAAAAAAGATAAGAGAAAGACAAATAGTAGATCACGAAGATAGAAGAAAGAGAGGAAAATGGGTCCTACCACTTACAATAGAGTTATGTTATAACTTGCAAAATTGAACGAGATGTGTTGAAGTTAGGAAAAAGTGTCTCTCTAGTATAAACTGTTTTATTCTGATATAAAAAACTTAAAACTGACTTTCAGTGTAATTATTTCTAAATTTTATTTTGTCTATTCTTTTCACATTAGAGGCTGCAAAATTTTCGTTGAACATAAGCTGACACAAATCATACGTCAGCAGACAGCAGAGAGTTTGCTTCTTCTCCGACAAGTCATCGGTCACCAAATGCTCTAATAGATAGTTTGCTTCTTCTCCAATAGGTCATCGGTCACCAAATACTCTTACGTCATGATTAATCCAGAGTTCTTAAGATATTGTTTTTAGCAGAAACTAAAAAACTGTTTTTAAATTTTAATTAAAAAAATTTAAGAACTGATTCTTAACTATTTTAGTTAAATATTAAAAAACAGTTTCTTAATTTTCAGAACTCCACTTTAATAACTTGGGGTTAGACATTGTCTTAACTATTTATTGAACTCACGCCTCTACCATAATATGTTAAAGCCATTTATAATTTTGTTCTTAGTGTAAAATATAAATCGCACCATCACTTTTAGTTTTGTTTCTTTTTACAATTTCACTCTCATTTCTCTATTTAAAGTTTCGTTTAAAAATAAAATTTAAAAAACACTTTGGTTGGGTGGTAGGTTACACGTACGCTTTTCTCATTACACAAGCTTTTGTGTGTGATGGGGATGAAGTGTCATGGTCATGGACCCTAGCCATCTCTTGTGACACAAGCATCAACACTGTAAAATTGTATGTCAAGCAGCTGTTTATATGATGGCACATGGTTTATCGAACGGCCAAAACATCAGAAAGAGAAGGTTAGCATCGGCACGTGTGTTTTTAACGCGGTATTAGCTGTTGTATTAGCCCTACTCTCATGTCGGTTGCTTCTTTATCAAGCCACTCTCCTTTCTATCGCTTTTCCCCTCGCCAACACTTTTTCAGTAAGTACGTTACTTTTTAAAAAATCTACCATAGGTTAGTGATAATGGACCCTTGATATGAATGATTAAGTCCTTATGGTTTATAAAACTCGGTGAAATTTTGGAAAACGCAGCCAATCTTTTGATGCTGAAACTTTCCCCAAAAATCCTATTGTGATACGTACTTACCAAATTCCAATTTAAAAAATGTTGATTTCACCCATTTATACGTTCCAAATGCATGTCTGCACGTGTAAGGTTTTCGTGTGTATAGGCGTGCACTGTTTTTATGTGAATTAATATTGTATAATGTATCTACCGTCCTAAAGATGATAACCTCAATCGGATTTTGTCAAGTTTGAATTGTAGAGTTATTATATTGCCACGAGAAATTATTAGTACTTTTTATAACTCAAACAAATAAAAAAAATGAATATGATTAACCACATTATCATTCATAGCTAGCTAACTGCTAAAGTTCACGAGACCATATCTAAGAAAATGTATATATTTCAAAATGGGTGAAGACGAAATGGTCAAAAGTCTAAGGTGTTGACCACCAATTGTCAACTAGGCTTTACACTTATTGGAGTCGAGTTAATTATCATGATCAATCAATTTTATATTTCGATTAGTGTAATATTGCTGTAAGCTATTCATAGGTTTTTTTCTAGAAACTAATCTTGATTATTAATTTTTGTCAACTCTTGATTGTTATCTATATCAGCTTCATGCCTTCATTTAACAATTTAAACTTGGTAATGTTTAATTATAACGTTCTGTAAAATCTTCTTTGTAGATTAATAGTAGATCGTAATTCCTACAAATTCACAGTATAAAGTAATACGTTGGTGTGATCATCATACGTTGACCCATGTGGTTTTAGGGTTATTCTAAATCTCATTCTACTACCATGGCTCAACACTTCCTTTGTGGGAAGAAGTAGAAAATATTCTTCTATATTATTGTTCACTTAATATAAGTTGGAAAGTTTTGAACATATTAGATTATTAGTGTATGCCACTTGTCAATGCTGAAAAGAATAAAGGTCGTAAGAGTTAGCTATTGTCGGTCCAACCCAAATCAGGCAGGTGTGCGGTTGTATGATTACAAGGTACATAGATTGATCGACTTTGAAGCCTCGTGTATTTTCTACAAGTCCTTGATTGTATGAAACTCGCATCAGAGCAAATCTACTTAAGATAGAGAGATTCGCAGCACTCAAATTTCGAATAGCATATATATATATGAAACGAGACCAAAACATTATATGATTTGAGAAAAACTTAGATTCCAACCTACACCAAACGAGACAACAAATTAAACTAAAATAATTGATTCCCACTGATCCGATTAATTTTTAAATAAACAAAGTGTGATCTTTGTATGTGATTTTGGTATATATATCAGGTATCTAGGTTAATGATATACTATCACACACTATTAAAAGCTCTTAATAGAGTCTTTTGGAGCTGTCCACGTCGGATTAAATATTCTGACCAATCAAAAAGTTAAATTTCGCCATGTCACTACTATTTGCTATCGAATGAAAAGAATATTGAGGCCTTTGTTTGGGCTGTCTTTGCATTGGCCAAGTTCAAGCCCGTTACCCAAATCCTTAGTTCGGCTGAACCGTTGAACTTCCTGTCGCTTCCCCTTATCTTCACCGGTTTCTCTCCGTTACCCATCTTCCTTTGCAATTAGTCTTCCCCTAAATTTTGCCTGCAATTTTTCCAATCGACATCCCAATTGAAATCAATCATCTCCTCACCCAGTTACAAACTCTCTATTAACTTTCCAGTTTCTACTCACAATTTTTTATTTTATTTTAGGGTTTTGATGAACATGTGGTCATCAAATCTAATGACTTCCTTGAAATCTCATTACAGGAAAAAGATCGTTGCTCCTCTTAGGAATAGGAAGTCAGTAAACTCCTTCCATGTTTTTCTTAATCAATCTATGGCTTCACATCTTACTGCGTTTTTTTTAAGGGTTTTGGATTTTTTTGTTGATTAATGGATTTCTCTAATAGTTTTGTTTGTTCAGCTAACAGAGGAAGCGTATGCAAAACAAAAGTCAGTTGAGGCTGAAGAAAACGCCGAGAATATGTTACTGATGAAGTTGGTGAGAATGAGATCCTGAGCCAACTTGATTACCATGTCATATTATTTCTTTTCAATCGTTTGTGTTTATATAACACTATATATGAAAGGTTTCAACATTAGCTGTAGTTATGTCACTGAAATTCTGTCTAAAATAATTGCATTTGATTATCATAATATTGTTCAAGGATATGGCCTGAAGCGAGAAAGAAGAGAAGATTTTGTAATATTCCTTTAATAAGCTTTTTTTTTTTTTTTTGCAGATTGGGATTCGTCGATTGACTGCGACTCGACTTGGGTTTGTGCTTTCAATCCATAAAAAAGGAACAAGAGCTAAACGGGGGCGTTTATTCAGGTTTGAATTTTCCCAGATCCCAGTCTACAATCGTATTTTAATGGCTTCTAAATTTTTTAATATTATCATTAGGTTCACAGTATTGTGGAGTAGACCTGAGAACGTAGGCAACTGTAGAAAATTGATTCTTTTTTTTTGGGTAAAGTAATGGCTTCTCAAGCTTGCCTCCCTTATTCCTCCCAGTATGCCTTACATCTCTCTTGCAATATGTGGCTATACGACGGTTCTATGCCCAATCGCTAACACCACTCAAGAATTGTATCTCAAGTGAGAACTAACACTCTATTTCCTTGCAGGTTTAACACAGTCAGAAATTAAAGCTACATGAACGGATGAGTGAAAGAAAAGGCAGCGTTCATCTCTCAATGATATACGAAGGTAAAAACGGTCAGTTGACTAAATAAGGAAAATATTTCGTCAATTAAATTGAAGCTCATATCAGATCTGGTGTATTACTATTCATCACCATAATTGAGGTTCACTAGAGCAGCAACTACAGCTGCTGAGGCAGATTAAGGCTTAGTTTAAACCTTTACTTGCAAAATTTACTTATAAATTTGCGAACCTGTTGATGTCAGCCCCTGGATTCCTTGCAAGTTATGGAAACTCAGATGATGCTTTTCTGCTTACGAAAGCCAAGGCAGGCCACCAACACCCTGAAGCTAACGATTCTCACCAGGTACACATAAGCGATCTCGGTAGAAATATAGTAGCTTCACTTGATCATCTGTTAGGATTCCTCCTATATTAGCTTGGATAATTAAGCTACTGTTAGCTTTCCTATTTCGAATAAATATAAAAAGAATAATTGTTTGTGTTTTTGAGTTTTCTATAGAACATACCAAAATCCATAGAACCTTATCTCATTGCATAGATCCACTGAATCAAAAGCGAGTTAATATATGTCCTTAACCTTTGGATCTATATGATTTATTTAGTTTTTTTTTACAAGAGACGGTTTCAGTAACTGTCATTTTTATACAAGTGTAAACGTGTGCTTGGTATATTAAATTGTGAGTTGATGTTTCCTGGGAAGTTTGTTCTACAGAGAGAAGATGAGTTTTCCTCACAGGTGGAAAGAGTATGCAGATTGCAGCGAAGGCCCTATACCACAAGTTGTTCCTAAAAATAAATTGAATACGCAGTTGACTGAAACTCCTTTAGAAGCTTATGTGTCTTCTACTCTTTATGAAGTTGAAGCGGAGAGAGTTGGTGTACCGGTTAAGCGTGGGCTATATGAGGTACCATCGTTCTTTGCAGTGTTGTAGAATTTTCATTTAAATGATAACATGTTGAACCTTTAGAGTCCTTATATCTAGCTTATGTTTCTGACCAATGAACCATAATATTGTTGGTGGACTTGGTCAGGAGGCATTGTTTTCTGTATAATGTAATGGATATAATCGGCCTTTGCTGAGAGTCCAGAAACTGTTACCAATTACTTGTAACTTCCATATCATAACAAGATCGATATCTTTTACTGGAGTATGTATCGATTTAAACTATTATAGATTCTTTTCTACCCGATGCTTCCCAAAGTTTGAGTTTTTGGTTTTAAGTTTCATATATAAGCTGAAGCTATTTTTTTGGCTCCCTTCTCTCTCTTATTTTTTTTAGTTTTAAATTCTGAAAGTCTTACACATACATACTGCTGATAAGAAGACAACAGACCTGAGTTATGTTTGGATTTTTTTTCCATCCAGGTCTGCCGCAGAAGAATGGATCAACCCTCTGGTTTTGTATCTCATACTTGGAAATCTTGGCTTAAAGTGGTTATGCCAGCTTTCCTATACCTACGCCAGTTCTCAAAAAAATTCTGGAATTAATGCTCGCATTTCTTTTCTCTAAGGTATATGATTTGAATCATATACCTTGTGCTTCTATTCAGGAGAATTAGGCCAAGAACTGAAGAGATGGTAGCGCTCAAATCAAGGGTTTGCAGAGGTGTTAAATTGTAAATTGAGATGTTATCTTTTTCTTTCTTTTTCTTTTGTAACAAACGAGATGTGGATATTTTCTTTTAGTAAATCATTTTGGTCTATGATTTTTAAATCCATGACATAAATTCAACTTAATTTGAATGCCTTCCCTCATTAGTACGAATTTTATATCATTTGATTATTATCACATGCAAAAAAAAAACCTTTAGGCTTATACATATGTTCTTCATATTGTTGATCCTAATACTAAAATTAGTAAACAACTTTTATATGATTATCAAAACATGATGGTTGATGTTCACTTTGTCTGATTTGGGAGTAAGCAACTGATTGATTGATGATTTGGTACATTTGTAACTTTCCAAAAACTAATTAGTTAGCTATGTAACCATTACAATATTCTGGTTTTGTTATATAGATCCAAATAGCGTTTGATTTTTTTTTTGGACAAACAAATATAGCGTTTGATATAACCTTACCTCAATACCAGTAAACATATCAGAGTCGACAATACGTTTTCTTCACTTATCCTCAGGGTAAACATAGTTTTTTTTTATAAAAAAAAATCTCACAGCTTTTAAAGAAAATGCTCACACATAGCTTGATATTAATATATTGCTCACATGGCCGCTTAATATTTTTATTTTAAATTCATTTGTTTATCAAATAAATGTACTAGCACTATATTTATTTATTTTCTCTTTTGAATTTATGGCTATCCCTCTCTCAAATCGTTACAGAATTATGCAAACAATATCTTTCTAGACTTTGAAACATCTCACAAACATAATCCAAATAAATTATCCCCGAAATAAAAATTTAATATTCAGTGACCTGATTCTATACCAATAAAAATTAAAAGAAATTAGCATTTAAAATTATCGACATAGAGTTATAAATAACCAATTAGATATGTTTAGTCAGCATTGTAATTACATTCTAAAACATTAGAGCTTCCATATCTTTCAAAATAAAATGAAAATCAACAAAAAAAAATTGAATTTTGATATTTATACTAATTTTTTGAAACTAAACATCCGATTTTAACATCAGAGTTTAGCTAACATAAAAACATGTCTTAAATGTAAACTTTCAAAAATTATTATGTCACAATAAAATTAAAATCAATTTCTCAAAAAAATCAGCTAAAATCAGTATAAAATATCTAACTAAAAGTTTCTACAAGAAATCAAATTAATATTTACACTGATCATTTAAAAAAATTAATATACATTGCTTTACTTAAATATTAAGATATAATAATTAATATTTACACTAATAATTATATTATTTATATTCCTGTGATTTTCGCGCTTTTTTTTTAACTGAATGCTTCTCGCTGTTCCAACTCCATTTTAAGCTGTTTAATAATTAACTTAAGAATAATTGAAATATGTATTTACTCTAACATACAAACAATACTGCAAAGTTATAAATGTTCTACACATAACAATTGTATAATGCAATTTATCCAAAGTACTCTTACGTAATATCTTAATATGGAATCATTCATATTGAATCTCTTAAACATTTCACATTTTTATTTTAATTAACTATTTAAAAAATAATAATTAATAAACAAATTATAGCTTCAAATTTTTAAAGATTTATAGAATCATTTTGGTCATCAAATTTACAGATTTAAATATTCAAAATGATTACACATTATGAATTTTTTTTATATATTTATGTATATATATATATATATGTATATATGTGTGTGTCTGTGTGTATGTGGAATAAGGTTATTTACCTATTCTTCATATAATAATTTAAAAATGCAATCACATGATGTACAAACATATATATGATATAAAAATAATAGAAAATATTAATATATTTTTATAAATAAATTATTTAAAATTTTATTAAATTTTTAACATGATCGCTAAAATCTTAATAGAAACTTAAACTATGTTTACAAAATTTAAAATAGAAATTAATGATATTCATAACAAAAATGTATCATTTTCAAAATCATTTCACTCTATTTTATCAAAAATAGACAAATGATATAATATAAACACCAAAAGTAAATCAATCTGTTTTAAATTCTAAAAATTGAAATATAAATTTCATAGAAAAATTAACCGCGCGTAGCGCGGTAAAATCTCTAGTAAGAATAAATAAGCTATATATAGGTCTTTAATCGATTATTAATTTATTGTAAACTAAAAAGTATTGGGAGAAGAATAAAGGTCAAGATCCATTCTGCGCGAAACGCTTAAGGGAAAACAATTGACGAGAGAAATAGAGGTTTCTCACGTCGAGTGAGAACATATAACACAGTGACTTTGGTGATTTTGAGTTTTTTTAATATGTAATGTATTCCATATTTTGGTTTAATTGTGAGAGGGCCCCCAAGATCAAGAAGATTACAAGAAGAAAGTCAAAATTCAATAGTTATGAGATGATAGAGTATTATGAATAAATTTGAATATTGTAACGGTAAACCCTAAAACGCGTTTTCTGTCACAAACAGACAAATTCACTTTAGTAACTTTGAGGGGACAGACAGCTGCTTCTCCAAACCAAAGTAAAAGAAAGAAGAATCGCCCTCGTTTTTCGTGTACATTTCTCCATCTCTCCAACTTTTAGATAGCGAAATGTATCTACCTTTATTTTCTTATAATTTTACAATCTATTTAAAAGAATATAATCTTAAACATATTTGCCACCTTTTAAATTTGAGTTATTTTCACTGCAGGTCACTTTCTGAGTTTTTATTACATGTAAGAGCACTTAGTGCTACTAAGTGCTACTAAGGTACTTTTCAGAGGTTAAATACTTGTTTGTCCTTCAAAAAGTAAACTAATAGAGGGCATTGAAGTAATTAGGGGATTCTTTTTAGTTGGGCTAGTTAGCTAATTGTTAACTAAATTTATTCTTGTTCTGTTTTCTAAATACATTAATCACATTAATTTTTACATTGGTCACTTTTATTCTTTTTTTTTGTATCTGAGAAACAATTATAATTACAGACAAAAAAAAAAAGAAAAGCTCAAATTTCAGAATGAAAAGATTCCCAAAGTGAAATTGAAGTAGTTGCAAACACGATGGAGATGAAGAAGCTGAGTTGCAGGAAACGACCTCAGACCCACATAGTGTACTTTATTTTCATACAAATTGGTAGCCGTTTTTCGTCGGAGGAGGAGGAGCTTCAGTCTTGATATGAACACAGTCGCAACAGTGACGATGAAGTTGAGTACTTGTTGTCGAAAGGCTTGACAGTGAGCGGTTATAGTGATTTTGGCATATCAGACCAAAAAACTTGATTTATTTAGATATTTTTTATAGAAGTTTAAATGTTAGAAATCAGTTATATATCTTCACATTGAATAGCAAACAACATAAAAATACACAAAAGTTCAGTGATTTTTGAAGAAAATATGGTTGGCGGCTGTGAAATTGTGCAGAAACCCTAAAAAGTAGAAGATGACTTAATTACGTTTTTACCATTAACTAAAGAAAAAAAAAACTAAAATGGTCATAATATGTACACTAGTATATTTGTACATGTGTACATTATTACTTGTGTACAAGTGTATATTATTGAATAGATGTACATGAGATTAGTGTTAAAAATCATTTTCATTGGGTTTTAGTTGGTCATATGTCAACAGTTGAGAATATTCATATGTACACCCTCCATGCTATAATCAAATGTACACCCAACATCTTTACATATGAAACTCAAATTCACAACTCACTACACTCTCGTAATAAACCCTAAACGTAAATCGTAAATATTATAAACGGATCCAAACCAATTAAACCTACAACAAACTGTTAACCCTTCATTTGTAGACAAAATGTATGGATATTATCAAAGATGTACATATGGACAACAAAGTATGGACAAGTAATGTAGACATTCTAAGCACACATGTGTACACGCGAACTTATGTATATCACGGAGTGTGTACATTTGTACAAATATAAGAATATGTACATCACAGAGTGTGTATATCATGTCTTCTCTGTGCTTCGTCATCTCAACTCGCGTCAGGAAAGAACTAGGAGTGAACTGATCCATTATGGTGAAGCTATCCTCATGCACACATGATTAGCGATCTATTAAACATATCTAAAGGTGTTTGTATGTTTCACATACATACTGTCAAAGAACATTACATGACACATATGTTTTACTATCCTCGATGGATACTTTGTACATGGTATGACATAGAAATTTTTTTGTAGGTAAGATAAAACATATACACTTAAAAATTTATGGGCTAATAATGACACGATCTTTCAACAATAAAGATATAGATAAACTTCCATGGACATATCATCATAGAAAATGTCTCTTTATAGTTAGTCAATGCTCAAATGTCCAATATACATATTATAATTTATATTAGTTAAGTTTTATATATCTCTATCATAATATTTTAAGTCCATACAAAAATTATGCACATAAATGTATTTGGATACACAATGTAAAGGTGTGTACAACCGTGCGTGTACATCAAGATTGTGGAGTACATATGTACAACAAAAATGATACCGTATATTTGTACAAATATAAGAATATGTACATCACGGTGTGTGTATATCATGTCTTCTCTGAGCTTCGTCGTCTCAACTCGCGTCAGGAACGAACTAGGAGCGAACTGATCCATTATGGTGAAGCTATCCTCATGCACACATGAATAGCAATCTATTAAACATATCTAAAGGTGTTTGTATGTTTGACATACATACTATCAAATTACATTTACATGACACATATGTTTTACTATCCTCGAGGGATAACTTGTACATGGTATGACATAGAAATATTTTTGTAGGTAAGATAAAACATATACACTTAAGAACTTATGGGATAATAATGACACGATCTTTCAACCATAAAGACATAGATAAACTTACATGGAAATATCATCATGGAAAATGACTCTTTATAGTTAGTCAATGTTCAAATGCCCAACATATATATTATATTTTATATTAGTTAAGTTTTATATATCTCTATCATAATATTTTAAGTCCATACAAAAATTATGCACATCGATATATTTGGATACACGATGTAAAGGTGTGTACAACCGTGCGTGTACATGTGTACATCAAGATTGTGGCGTACATGTGTACAACAAAAATGAAACCGTACATGTGTACAACTATAAGAAATTAGGTAATGATTGCATGATCTTTCAACAATAAAAGCATAGATAAAGATACATGGACATAACGTCATGGACAATGCCAGTTTATAGTTGGTCCATGCTCAAATGTCCAATTTACATATTACATTATATTGTAGTTAAGTTTTGCATATCTATATCATAATATTTTAAGTATATAAAAAAATTATGCAAATCAATGTACATGAGGATACATGATACAAAAGAGGGTACAACCGTGAGTGTACATGTGTACAACCGTGAGTGTACATGTGTACATCAAAATTGTGGCGTACATGTGTACAAAGAAAATTATTTTAAGATGCATATATGTGTTCAATTGCATTACAAAGGATTGAGATGCATAATCTAAAAGTATGGGATAAAAATTAATGAGAATTTTGCACATTTAAAAATCTGGATCCAAACTACAAAGAAACAAAAAATTGAAGGACCAAAAAATGCAATTATTAAAAACTTGTCCATTGTTGCTGAGCTTTGATATGGAACACAGTGACAGAGAATTAGTTGTCGCGGATTGAGTTTGGATTTGGCTCACCGGAAATAGATTGCATAGATCGTGATGGATCTGTGATGAAATTGTATGGGAGGTATGCTAAGGTGTGGACATGATGTCGTGGTCGCGTATTTCATCGGAGAGATGCTAATATGTGGCGAGGATGGTGATAGGTGGAGCGACGAGATATGTGAACAGAGGAAAGGTAGTGTTTTGACGGTGAAATAGGGAAGCAGAGATATTACAGCAGTGGTAGTGTTGCGGTGGAGGAGAGGTTTGTCTGGGTGTTGTAACCATGAATCTCTGTTTTTTCAAGTTTGTGACATACGAGTTTGTCTTTATTTTCTGTAATAATAGAAAAGTGAAAGAGACAAAAAAAAGATGAGAGAAGATAAAAGAAAATAATGTAATATTAAAAGAATTAAAAATTTATTATATAACTAAAATTTAGTTAGATTTCAACTATATGTGAGAAGTAAAATTGTATTGGGAAAAGGAAAAGTGTTTGAGTAGTATCAACTGTCTTATAGTGATATTAAAAGTGTAAAACTGACCTGCAGTGTAATATTTTCTTTAAATTTTAGATTCTTGTTCTTACCTTTCTAAGTAAAGTCAATTGAAAAGATATACATAATCTAATGCTTATCGCTATGCGAATAATGCTATCATATCTTAATTTGATTGTATATATAGTACATAGACATAGTAGTCTCTGAAAAAAAAGACATAGTAGTCTGATAACAATATTAATTATGAACATATTACATATGTATTATAGTGTATTGTATGTCTCGAAGGAAGACAACATGAGTCAATTCGAATTCTATATATATACGAACATCTAATGCATTCAACCTTTGAATAAAATAGAAAGAACCGAAAATCATTAGGTTTTTGAAACCTAGAGAGGGTTTCAAAGTTCATGGCCATATATAAATGAAAGTTGTTAGACCAAAAAATTGTCTTTCGTGGGAGACCTATAAATGCATTTACGTACATGATCAACATAAACATAACCTAAGTATATATTAACAAATATAAGCAGATACATTACACTAGCTAGCATCTATAGGTAAACTTATAATTTATGCTAGTGTAAGGTATAATCATTAGAAGAATAGGGTTTCTCTAAATTTAAATCTATACCATATAATATAGATGCTGGAATGTGGTTTCCGGAGGAAGAAAAATATAAGGATATATATATATGTTTTTAGAGGTACACCAAGAATGAAATTAACATACATGAAAAAGAAGTTGAAGTGTGGACATCTTTTAATTGAAAGGTCCATTTCTAAGGGTCAACTCCAGCAGCCCTACCAGGCTACCATCAACAACAACAAAAAACTTTTTTCCTTTTATTTCTGGATCAAACTCTTTTATATTTACTTTTTCCATCAAAATGCTATATAAATACTCTCACCTTGATAAAGTGGGCAGTTTACAAGCATGACTAAAAGGGAGCTGAACCATTTATAAAACGTCATATATATCAGTGATAGGAATAAACGTTATATGAGAAAAAATGAAATCTTAATTTCTTGAGAAGAATTTATGAGAAGACTAATAAAAGTTTCGATTTGTTTACTTATGTTTCTCACTTTTCTTGACGCTCGTTGAACAAAAAAAAACTAATTTGAACCTACATGAACATATTAGTATAGTAGTAAAAATTGTAAGTTAAGTAGAACATTGATCAAGTGTCAAGACCACCAGGCTCTGCAAATAGTTTGACACACCTTTCACATCTTAAATGTAAACAAACACAAATAAATCTCAAAACTCCAAAAATACAATAGGAGACGATGACACAATGCTAATGTTCTATTCATATGTTCATTGCAGAAACAAAACTTCATATGGGCAGCAAAAATCAGAGTTACAAACAACCGTGTTGCATATATCATAATAACTCCATTTAACGATTGTAATTTGAAACTGTGATTCATGCGTCTGCAGTAGCAATAGCACTAGGGGTAACTTGTTTAACCCTCCTTTGATGAACATCATAGTTATAAATACGCGCTATAGTTACCTGTCCATTCATTAAAAAAAACGTAAGTCAAAAAGATAAACTACTCTTTACTCAATCTCTGTTGAATTTACTTATACAAAAGTAAATTAGACGCTGATTCAACTGAAAAGAGATAAAACTGTACCTGAGTAACTGTGACTTGATCCCTCAAGAACTGTAGATCAGCGACAAGAACCTCCAGGCTGGCTTTAGCATTTTCCAGATTGTTTTTCAGAAGGGCTGTAGCCTGATGGAACAACAAAGATTTATAAGACCTTATTCTAGGGCCACTAGTGCAATAAACTTATAACGTGGAAGAGAATATGTTACAAGAGTAATGAACCTCTTCACAGGAATATTCCAGCATGACATTTGCTCCCAACCACAAACAGACTGAGTCTGTGTCCTCAATACAGGCCCGTGAATATATTCCTTCAGACACTTCAAAATCGGCTAGAAGCGACTGCATTGCAGGAAAGAATTCCATGTGAGAAAAAAAAAATGATGAAGAGCACAAAGCAATTTATCATAAAGGCTGAAACATCGTGCATATCTCTGTCTCACTTGACAGTGACTATAGAACTATGTTCTGAGACACAACATGTTCTGCCACAATAAAACAATCTTAAAGGTGTCTCAGTTGGTTCTTTCAGTGAAGCTAAGACTATGTTCTGCGACACAACATGTTCTACTGTCACAATCAAACACGACTTAAAAGACACAAAACTAAAGGGCCCATAGGCACAAGAACACGGATTATAGATTTGGCAGCACCCTATTGTCTTTCCAACCAATCAAACCTTTATCTTTGAAAAAAAAAAACAGACTTTCAAGTTTTAACTTCTTATAAAAATGTTTTTAAAGCATAAGTACGCCTGACTCGTGCATCATAAAGAATTTAGAGCACACGAAGTTCAACCTTACGCAACTAAAAGCCAGTATTCTGGATTCAGAACTTCAATCAACAGTCACCATCCACTTAAACAAAAGCAGCCAGAGACTAAGCATTCATGCAAAACCAGTGAAGGAAAAGCTACCTAAGTATAACTAGTAAGAGCATCTCCAACCCATTGCTATTTTCACCTCTATAATAACATTTAGAGGTGAAATTGCTCCAACCCACCTCTATTTTTTCCTCTATTTTATAGAGAAAGAAATAGCATTCCTCTAATTTTTTTTTACTCTGCATTTAGAGATTGCTATTGTAGAGGAATACATAGGAGCATATCCCACCTCTATTATAGAGTTCCTCTATTGGAGATGGTCTAAAGAGATTATTTCAAAAATGAAGAAACGAACCTCACCAGTACCCTTCCTTGTTTCCAAAGTGCCAACAACCTCTAAGCACTTCTCAATATCTGGGATCTTAGCCTGCCCATTGATCAAAACTGTTAAAAAATATCATAAAGTGACAACTTGTACCATCATACATACATACACATCACACCACAACAGACCCTCTCATCATATATACCTGAAGATCTCTTTGTTGGGCAAGAAGCTTCATCTCAACAACTTTATATTGCTGAAGCCTAAACAGAGTGAAAACAGATCATTATAAGCTCAATCACAAAAGGGTACGAAGCTAAACCACTGAAAATGATGAAAGGAGAAACCTTTCTTGATGGAAAGCGAGAGCAGAGTTCGAATCGAATCCGGATTGAGAGAGATAAGTCTCTACGTCTTGGATGAATTTCGCGGCGGGAATCCCTCTTCTCTCGCTTAAATCGGAACCGCTACCACTTGGAGAAGACGATGACGCCATCTGCAACGCTCGAATCGAAATCTAAGTTTCCGATTTGGGGATTTAGGGTTTTCTCAGGGAAGCTTACGGAGTAGAGAGAGTGTAAGCAGCGACGGATCAAAGATCGGTAATACGACGCCGTAGTACTCGGTAGAACTGTAAGTTGTGAAACGGCATCGTAACTGATTATTTTTAAGTGGGCTTTAAAGGCCTCGCTCGTGAATCATGATAAAGCAGACCCATTATTAATAAGGAAAGAAACCACGAACCGGCAACGTTTTCACCTCATGATGTCACTACTACTTCACGCCATACTCCTCGATCTTTGATAAAGGTTAGTGTTGAGAAATTTATGTCATCTAGGGCTTCTGTTATTCATTGATTAGCTTCTTATTTACAGAAAATGTTGTCACTTGTCACCGTATGATGTTTCTAGCTACTGCTTCCGACATGCCCTGTCTTGATGATGCTCCTTAATCATTGATAAAGGTTACTTACTTTAGTACATTAAAGAATTTATGTTATCTAAGGGCTTCGTTCTTCATTGATTTGATTCTTAATTACAGAAATTTGTTTCGCCTCATGATGTTACTTAGAGCATCTCCAAAAAGACACTCTATTTTAGAGTTTGCAAAACTCTATTTTTGAAGTTTCAATATGTTCTTCTCCAAAAGCAAAACTTCAAATATAACTTTAAAACTATTTGTATTTTATTTTATGGTCCTTATATTTATCATAACTAATATAAATTCATATTTTTTTATAACTAACTAACATATATATGAAAAACATAACAACAATATTAATTAAAAAACATTTACTCTAAAATATAAAACTGTAAATAGAAATACATAACTAAATAAAATACAAACAAAATATCACATTATTTCATAAAATTATTTCCATAATGCTTCATCTTCAGCTACACAATACTATTTGGATAATATTTTAGTAATTTTGAAGGTTTCAGAGAAAATTTACCATACTATTAACATTGTTGTAATATTTAAATTTATGTAATAACTATGTTTTTTATTTACCTTTTTAAAAAGTTTTTTTTTTAAGTTTCTTTTGTAATATTCGTGAAATCTAATTTTAATTTTAAAATAATATAAATTTTCTTTTAAACTTTTATATATAAAACTTAAATTTATAAAAACAAATCTGAAATATTTATAAGATATAAAATCTTTAAGGATTAAAATGTTAAATGAGAAAATATTGAAAAATCATAAATATAATATATAATTAATTGTAAGGACCAAAATACAAATAAGAAGATGAAACTTCAAATTTGAAGTTTTGAGAATTGAAACTTCAAATATGAAGTTTCACTCCTCAAAACTTCAAATTTGAAGTTTTGAAGTTTCTTTTTGGAGAACCAAAAACTCTATATTTGGTGTTATAGAGTGTCTTTTGTAGATGCTCTTACTACTACTACGGCCATGCCTCAGTCGCCATCAAGGTATATATTATTCATGTTATCATTATATCTCTAATATTGTGCGTCTTATATATCAATTAAGTAGCAGTAGTTATATGGATTGTTGCCATCAAGGGATACATTCCTGTTATCATCTCTCTAATTTTGTTTTGCTGGAATGTTTTTGCACCTGACACAGTATATATAGCTGAGCAACTCCGAAGTTTAAAGATGTGAATCCTCTACAAGTGCATCGAAAACAATAAGAAGTAGAAGATCGTGATAAATGTTGTGTAAACTTTGGATGTTTTGGCATTTAAAGCAGATGTTTGTGAGCACCTCATGGACAAATATTACTCCTATAACATTTTTATTAATGCGTCCATTAGAGCTCTTGAATCACAAAATCACAAAATCACAGAATATACGAATTGTTACAACAATTATCTTTTGTTTTTTTTTTTTAATTCATTAAGACAAAAATATGGATGGACACAAACACCCCTGCAAACAGACAAAACTGAATTACTGACAAAAGTCCCGAAACACGAGTGGTTGAAATAAAAAAAAACACGGGTTTCCAACTTTTTCAACACCCAAAAATCCTGAGCAAACCGTCGAACGAAACGCCGCCGTTTAAATCGCCACCGCCCAATCTAATCATAGCCTTGATCTCATCATCGTCAGCAGCCAAACCAGCCGACTCCATGTAACTCTTCAAGTCTCCATAACTCAACCTCCCATCTCCATCCCTATCCATCATCTTGAACACATCTTTCATCAACCCGTCACAAGATCCGCGTCCACGCGGCGCCGTTTCAAGAACTTTCTCGAACTCGTCGAACTCAACGAACCCGTCCTTGTTCGCGTCCGCCACTGATATCATCGTACCGATCATCATCGTCTCGTCTTCGTCCTTGTCGGGAGAAGATCTCGAGATCCCGGCGTAAAATGCTCGGAGATCGTCGCTGCTTATCTTACCGTCGCGGTCGGCGTCGATGATCTCGAACGCTGGTCGGAAATCGGGGTTTGCGGTGGTTATGGAACTCACGAGCCTACCAGAAGGACACATCTCTCTCTTCTCTTGTCTTTTTTCTCGTTTGAAACTTGTCGTTTGAGATTGTGAAAGAAGCTTTGAGCGTTAGAGACGTGTGGGAGCGTTGGGGTTTATATAAGGGGACTAGGCTGGAATGAGAAGGCATAAGTTTGACTTTGACTCTTTCTATAAAACCTTGCATGGAAAGTTTTGTTATCTTTTTTTCTTTATTCTTTTGATTGTGTTTTTGAAACTTTTGATTATAATAATATAGCCAGATGTATTACATTTAAATATAGTATAGCCACAGATATTACATTTATATATATATTGTAGCCATAGATATTTTTTTGGTAGCCATAGATATTATATTATTTATCATATCTATACTATATAAAAGTTGAGGCTATAAGCCATTGAGGACGTCCACGTAGGATTTAAGTCCTCCAATCGTATAATGACACATCATTATATTAGTTTATTATTTTTATAAAATGTCATTGTTTTCAAATTATATTAAAAATGAAATTAATATTCCATATATAACTTAGCTAACAAAATAAATATTAACATTTTACAAATTACTTAAAAATGTTAACTGTTATAAAAAATGGAAAATCAAAAATAAAAACGTAATATTAACAAAACAATATTGTCTTTTTAGATATACTAAATGTAAAGTATCATTTTTAGAAAATGTCAATGTTTCCAAATTATATTAAA